CCGCCAGGTCATAAACTGGAAGCCGACCCTGGACCCGCTGACCCAGGCGCCCAAGGGGTTCGGTTTCTGCGAGTTTGAGGAGGCAGAGGGCGTGCTGCGCGCGATCCGGCTGCTCAACGGCGTGAAGCTGGACGGGCAGGAGCTGATGCTCAAGGTGGGGGTGCGGCTGCTGGCCTGGTGTGTGTGTGTGTGTGTGTGTGTGTGCTTGTGAGAGAGAGGGAGACACAGTGTGCGCATGTTGTGTGCAGGTGAGCGTGTGTGTGTGCATGTGTGTGAGTGTGTACGGGGGAGAAGGGTAAGGGAGAGCAGGAGCAGATGTCCGAAGCAAGGCGGCTGCTGCCAGTCTGCACGTGAGAGAGAGAGAGAGAGAGAGAGAGAGAGTGTGTATGTGTGCGCGCGCACGCGTCCATGCGTGCACTTGTGAGTACGTTCTGAAGGGTTGCAATAGTGCACATGTTGGGCTTCACGACGGGAGGAGGCGCTCTGTTTCCGTGACGTGCGGTAGGGTCGGCTCCGCGAGCCTCTCAGGTGCGGCAAGGCGCCTCTGGGGCCGCGGCGAGCTCGGAATCCCGGCCGGCCTTGCTGACGAGGCGGCCGGTCAAATCTCGCGCCGACTGCGCAGTCAAACACGGCGACCCAAAAGTACCTCGAGGCTTATGAGGCCGACCGCGACGCCGCCCGCGCAGCCAAGGCGGCGGCCGCCGCGGCCAAGGCAGCCGACGCGGCCGGCGGCGACGCGGAAGGCGGGGAGGCGGGGAAGGAGGGGGGGCAGGGCGAGATGACGGACGAGCAAAAGGAGGATCTCGTGATGCAGGTCGGTCGGGGAGGCGGTTGGGAAGCAGCTGGGGTAGCGGTTGGGGAAGCGTTAGGGGTAGCGAATGGGGTAGCAGGTATGCGGGTCGGTCGGAGCGATTTGTGCAGCCGCGGCTGTTCTGATTGGTGGTAGCGCCGGGGCTGCTGGGGTGTGCCAGCAACTGTGCAGACTGACGGGCGCGGTCCGGTCTTTCCTGGTTAATACGGTCTGCGTGAGGGCCGACGCCGACAGCCGCACGGGCCCAGATCACCGCGCAGCGTGCGGCTGAACTTCTGTACTGCCCCGTCCCGCCCCCACGCCCCACCAGACGATCATGGAGATTGTCACTGAGCGCGAGGCGGCGGCAGTACACAGCAAGGCCGTGAACGAAGTGCTTTCGGTTGCGGCCGGTGGCGGCGGCGGCGGCAACGGGCCGTCGGTCCCGGCGCTGGGCGGCGGCGGCGGCGCGCGGCGCGACGGGCCGCACGGGCGGGACGACGCGCGCGGCGGGGGCCCCGGCGGCGCGCGGGACGGGGAGGACAGGTGCGAGCCTTCTGTTTTTGAGGTTTTGAGTTGTTTTTCCTTTTCAACTTTCGAGTTTCGCGGCGCCAGCTGCTGCTGCGCCGAGCCGTCCTACGCTCATCTCCAGGCGTTGCCAAGGATCAAGACGCCCGCAGGCGCTCCTGGTCGCGCAATGTGTAGCGCGGGCGCGAGACTGCCGCCGGCCGCGCACACCCTGCCTCCCGCCGATCAGACCCCATCCTCGTCACCATTTCGTGCGCCCCCACCATTTCATCAACCGCCGCGCTTCCTGCACCGCCCCGCCGCCCTTTCACATCGCATCCTCCCAGGGAAAGGGATTCGGCGGTGGACCGGGAGCGGGAGCGGCGGAGGCGCGAGGAGGAGGTGCGGAAGCGGGAGGGTGAGCGCGCCTACCAAGACCTGCTCAGCCGGTGGGAGCGCCACGAGCGGTGAGCGCCCGCCCGTGGGCGGGTCAGGCGGGGGCAAGGGGCGGCGCAGAACCCGAAAGCCCCGGCCGCCGCCAGGGTGCCAGAGGCTGGGCTCGGGGGCCATGCGGTGGCGGCGCGCACGCGGGGTCGAGGCGGCGTCGGCGTCGGTGGCAGGCCGGGCGAGGTGGGCGCCCTGGCGGCGGGCGTGTGTGCGCCCACGTTTCGAGCGGCTGTGTTTGCTTGGCAGCGGCAGCAGCGAGAGGCCGGCGCGCACCGGGAATCGCCGAGTGGCTGCGTGCGCCGGGCCTTCAGCGCTGCCTGGCAGAATGTCGGGCCGGCCGCGGTGGCGCCCCGGCCGCCGGGGCCACCGCCCCAGCCACCAACGCGCGCGGCGCGCTCGTGCTCATGCGCACCCTTCGGATGCGCGCACCAACCCCGCCGCCCGCCCGCCCCCGCGGGGCCGCCCTCCCCACAGCTGCGCGCACATGAGGCTCTGGCCTGCCGTGAGGGGCCGGGCCGGGCGCGAACCAGGGGGCGCCAGCGGCCGCTTTTCATACGCGCATGCCGCAGCCCAAGATTGACACGCACAAACCAGCACGCCCGGCGCCAGCCCCGCGAGCGCCGCCCCTGCCCCGCCGGCCCCGCCCTCACCCCTTTGGTGCCCCGCCCTTCCCTGCCCCCCTTGACGAATTCCCCCAAAAGGGACGCCGAGCGCACGCGGGAGCGCGAGCGGGACCGTCAGCGGGACGCCGAGCGCGAGAGGCAGCGGCACATTAAGGTGTGGATGTACCCTCCACCGACCAGGCGCCCTCCCGTGTGGTTGCCTCTCCCTATCTGCCGGCTCTTGGTCCCTTGAGTGCCCTTTCTGGACCCTCCTCTGCGCGCGCGCCCTCGTGCACAATCCAGGCCGACCACGTGCGCCTCACTATTTGCGTGCATGCATCAACTGCGTTGCACTTTGTATCCAAGTGCCTATGTGCCTCCCCGCGCGCCCACCCCCCCCTGTCATCACTCGACCCCTTCCTTGACACAGTCACATGCATCTTCTCACGCACGGCCTCCAGAATCGCAAACATACAACGTCCAACAACCCCCCCCCCCCTTCCCAATCGCCCAACCGCCAGGCTGACCTGGAGCACCCAGACACTGACGATGAGCTGGAGCCCTGGAGGCGGCGCCCCCTGCGCGGCAGGTGCGCGCAAGGGAGCCCCGCCCGCGCCCGCGCCCCGCGCGGCGCGACCAGCGCACCTGCACCCCTTGCAGGCCACACGGCGCTCGCAGGCCGCCGCGCGGCGGGCCGCGTATCCTGCGCCTGGGCGCCCGGCATTGTCAGGTGTATGCCCTGGCGTGCTGGGGCAGAGGGGGCCGTGCATCAATGGGCCTGATGCTGGGGGCGAAGGGGCGCCCACCCCACTCCCCCAGGCACCTGCGCGCCCGGCGGCCGGTCGCGGGCGTCCCGCCGCCCACCATTGGCGAGCCTCTGCTTGCCGACCCCGTGCGCGCTCCATCTCGCCATCGGCTCCTCTGCCCTCGCGGGGTTCTCCTGGCAAAAGCCGCACAACCCTGTCCCTGAACCTTTTCATCATCTGCGCGCACACCGCAGCCGGCGGCTGGAGGAGCGGCGCAAGCGGCGGCAGAAGGAGCTGGCTGAGGACCAGGCGGACAGGTGCGGGGGCTGCCCGGACTGCCCGGACTGCACGGACTGGATGACGAGCGCGGGCGCAGACCGCGTGGTCTCGCGGGCGCACGCGCGGAATGCGCAGTCTGGCCGATGGGCGCGGGCCCGGTCTTGTCGGACGGGTGTAGGTCGCAAGCATGGCCTTCGGGCCGTGCGTCTATTTGACAGACCCCTGCCGCAAAAATCGTCACTCCAACATGATCCATTATCGCTTTCCAGGGAGAAAGAGGCGGAAGAGGAGCAGGCCAACAACGCGGGCGAGAACGAGGCCAGCCCGTCGGCAGCCGCCCCGACAGGCGCGAAGCGCGCCGCGCCCGGCGGCGGCGAGGAGGACGACGCAAAGCGGCGGCGCGCCGCCGACGGCGAGCGGGGGCAGCAGCAGCAGCAGCAGGGCGGCGGTGCGGGGGCGGCGGCGGCGGCAGCGGCGGGCGCGGTCGGGGCGGATGACCCCATATACCTGGCGATGATGGCGGCCGCGACGGCGGAGCCGAGCGCCGCCGGCGGCGCCCCTGGCTTGAGCGCCAGCGC